TCATCGTTAACATTGTATTATGTAATCAATATCATCATCATTATCATCACTATCATCATATTTAGCAATCTTGCTCATCATTGTCATCATACCTGAATGCAGTTCGCAACATGGCTTCTTGATTTGTTGATCTATTGTCGTACTGACTTACGCGAATCCCTAAAACAAATCACATTATCAAGATTTAGTTTTCGTAGTGTAGTTAGCTCTAGTGTACGTCTTGTATAGTAATTTATGTGAATACTAAAGTTGTAAATGTGCATTTAAAAAATTAAAAATAAAAAAATAAAAAAGGATTAAAAAAAAAAAAAAAGAATTACTGATCGATGTTAGAGATTCCTCGCTGGAAAATCTCAGAAATTCAAGTCCATCAATCTAACCTGGTCGAGCCCCTCGATACCGACCACCATGRAACACGTTCGGTGTTGGTAAGTTATTGCTRATGCTTGCTCTGGTCGATTTGGCTTGTGCTTTGGATACGCCCTCTCGAACTGGCAACACTGTCGCCTCGGCTGCCTGGACAAGTTCGTAGATACCTAACCACGAGAATGACTTGAGGATCATCCTAGAAAATATAGTAACAATGATAATAAATAGAATYTATTTATCTCAAAATATCCATCAAGTTATGATGCGCTTTACAAAATTCATTAAAACAGTTATATAAATTTATRAAAAAAGACACAAATGTTTATTTGTAAAAGACTTTATTATATACAGTATGGATATTACTGATTATTAATCATCATTATCATCGTCTTAATAAGTCTTGAATATACGAGGACACATCTTTGAAAACAAAGTAAATAAAAACAAACGTTTGCTTTCGTATTTCTCTAGAAAACGGCATCGACATATATCGAAGATAAATCACTATTTACATCGAAGCTGGACAACCATTGAGCGTGCAATGATAGATACCTGTGAATAATTGTCTGTAGGTGTGAAAGAAGGTATCTATCCTTACACACTAAACGGTCGTCTCGCTTCGATGCAAAGGCACGGCTACCTTTCAAGATGGCGCAGGTAACCGTGAAGGTGACTATTACTTTATGTCGATGAGTTTAATGAATACGACGGTAACAATGATAGACACGAGGCTAATAAATAAACCAACAAGCCCTTCTCACCTGACTTTTTGCTTGAATTCGACGTTGCTATTTTGATCAGAACCAAACGATATTGGCGAGGACTGAGAACTAGAGCCCAGTCTACTTCTCAAATCCACGTATGAAACCCCGCTACGGCTTAGATGTACAGACATTTGTCTAATAACGGCCCTCAGGAACTTCATTCCAACAGCTATGGCAAGCCCGCTTGGTGTAAAAGGTCCCTCTAGGTCCATATTTCGTCGGGTGTTTTCTAATAATAGTTCCTTTGGGTACTTATTGATCTCCTTGACTATAGTTTCGACAAAGGTCACTAATACTGACTTGTCTGTATTACTAAGAAGCTCAACTACAAAACCATCAATAGCACAAGAACTACTAGGCCTATTTTTCTTAGGGCCTTGGTGAGATGYCCCAGAAACGTTCTTTGGGTCCATATTCCCAGTATTCTCCAAGCCCTCCATAGCACTTTCTTCGGTTACAACGGGAGAGAACCCCAAAACGCTGGCAGAAACACAAGGCCAATTTTGAGCAAGTTGTATCAAAATTGGAAGTGAATTTTCGTCCYTTTCAGGGGCATCTCCTGATGGGGCTTCMGAGGACAGATCAATAAGGTCCCCTGAGGTTCCTGCAGCACCTTCTTTAGAAGGTTCCTCAATCTTTGGTGCTTTTTCAGRGTCTGYATTCTGTTCTCCRTTTTCATCGACCGTTACTCTGTCTTCTAGAGCCGCTAGTGTATCCACAAGACTTCTGAAGCTACTRGAAATCTCGTCAAGCTGAGCCAACAAATTACTCTCGATTGTGGCCTGGGTTCCACTTGAGCCCTTGATCTTTATCTCAGCGGTAATGTCATTGTTACCTTTGGTACGATCAGCTTGGGGTCCCTTTGTTGGTTCTCCGGGATCAGAGCCGAAGAGTTTGTTACTGTACTTTAGAAGGCGCTGTTTTTGTTGCGCTGTTGACTTGATCCAACGAGAGTTGTTGACAAAGAAYGAAAGAACTGTGTCGTCATGGCTGTTTCTAGCGGTAGCCATCTAGGRAAAAGACAGCATTGATTCAATTGCTTGATTAAATATCCCTTTTTGGGAACGGAAAAATGCATGACCTACCTTTGAATATGAAAGAAGACGCGAAAATAGCTGGCAAATCAAATTATCTTCAATATCCTGAAAAACAACAACACTCAATTAAGATCAAAACACTACAAACATGGCTAAAACTATTGATAAAATAGCCTAACCATTTCTTTGTTCTTGTTGGCATCGCTTGGCTGTGATTTACGGCTGATTTTCGTCGTCCCACTTGACGTAGAAACATTGTACACATCGCCTCGAATGCCAACCTCCATTTCAAGCTTCTCGTTCTCTTCTAAGTCAAGCTTTGAATATAAACAAAACATCACTCTTCAATACAGCAACTATCAGTTATTTTGGGTAGTGTGGTATCAGAGCGGCATTTGACTTTTTCAAAAACTTAAGAATTTTAAAAAATTAGAGAGGATATGAACACACTATTTTTAGGCGGTCTACTTTTCGCCATTAAAGTAAAATAGTATT